ATGTATATATATATATACATACATACATACATTCGGAACAAGTTAAACATGTGTACGAACAATTCTTCACATTATAGAGACTACGGGCATATTATAAACACTATATATAGTTCTCTTCTTCTTGTCAAAAGTCCACTTCGGCCAATTAAATTACTTTAGAATTTCAGTTGACAAGCCGAACTCTCTTTTCTATTGCTATCGCACTAGTATTCTGTGTGTGATTCACTTACAGTTGTGGCGCGAGTTACGGTAATCGTTTGGTCTTCTTTCTTCTGAATATCCCCTGTTCCTTTTATGAAATTGCACTCAGACTGATTCAATTACTTTAAAACCACGCTTTGATGGAATAAATTATTTTTCTTATCTTCTTTTCTACTGGTAGTCTTACTCTAACATGTTAGACGTTAGGCCTATCACTTCTACGATACTTTAACTTCACGCTGAACTTTTCCTTGGCTTGAAACTTTACTTTCTTCTGTTATTATATGTCTGCTGCTTCCCGCTCGTCTCACACTATTTATATCTTTATCACCTAATCGTCTATCCAACTCCTATATTCTCGTCGTCAATATATTGCACGCGACGTTCAATAGTCTATGCATCATTGAATTATTAACAAAACCTCTTACACTCGTCTGCTTTTAACTCTTATTATAACAAAAACTAAACAATAATAAAATATTCACTCATAAAAACAAATCGATCAGTAACATCTAAGCTAAACAGTATTTTATATAATGACAACCACCCGTTTTACAAATCTCTGCAAGTATCTAAATCAAATCTTTTTCTACCTTACACACTCACACACACAAAACACATTCGTTCAGCAGCTCCTTGGAGAGTCACAGTTAGAATGAACCAGCTCGCTGGAGAGTTTATCTGCTTGACCTGCCTCACTGACTTGCTGTAACCTTTAATTTTGACCTTGACCCTCCGACATCTAATCAACTCTAAGTTGAGTCATAGTACAAATTTATACCAACTTTCGTCCAAATCCATTTTGCCTTTTTCGAGAAATCTTGCTGACAAATACACACAGAGACAAACACATGGGTGAAAACATAACCTCCGCCACCAAACGTGACGGAGGTAATTAAAAAGAAAGATAACAAATTATTTGTTGAATAACAATAAAAACCAGTGGGACATAGTGCATCTTTGTACGAAACAGAATAATAAATCTAAATGTAAACACTAATTTACATATATTGTTAAGAACACGTTTCAACCTTTTAATTTGCAGAAATTTGGGGTTCTACAGCTTCTTCGTGAAAATGAGCCACTTGACTACAAGTAATCTATTTTCTGTGAAATGTTATTAAAGCAAAATTTCTGTGCAGTATTAGAAAACAGTGTGCTTAACACACTTACAAAAATTAGGTTCACTTAATATTTGTTTATCACTAGTAGTACTTTTATTCCGTACAATGACTTCACAACAGAAGTAAAAACAGCCAAAACTAATGCTAATAGACTTGCTTTATAATTACTCATGTACTGATTTGATGTTTAATATATGATGTGTTATTTTTAGAAACTTTAGTACTGATACCTAATGTCATAAATGAACTGAATCGATAAAGTTCGACACTCTGTACAGTCGGATTTTCTTCATTTGTGTGGATTCGTTGCATGAACTTCGTCATGATTTAACTATATTTTTAAGGTTTTATTTTATTTAGTGTTGCAATTACTGTGTTTTTGTAATTTATAGGGCACTGATAGCAACACTAAAAAAAATAAGGACAGTAATAAACACTAATAGGAAAATCATTAATACTTACTAAAGCAGGAAAAAACCAAAAAAACATGTTGCTGTTGTATTGTTTGTTTACTGTAAGCAATGCTGCATAACTGGTGATGTTTGGCGCAGATGGTAAAGGTCCGACTAAGCTATCCTGTCGAGCCTTCTCTATATTTCCTGATTCAATTAAAGGAGTTAAAAACAACGGGTTGCCTGTTTCAGATCCATCAAGAAGTACAGGCAAAGGCTTTGGGAACCATTGTCGCAGCGGTCCTTTCCCAGCTGCCACATGTTCTAAAGAGAACATAAACAGGGATAGGCTTAGCCCTACTCTAAAACTAAGAATTGTTTGCATCATTTCGAGAACCGACACGACCAAGATCCAGTAGTTAACTCTTACTTTTAAAGCGTATCTATGATACAACCTTTATTTTTCTTTCTATTTTTTTTAGCAAACTCACGCAGTTTATAATCTCGAGTCCAAAGTTCACGTCATACAAGACGTTCACCACCTGACACTCATGTGATCAGTGTCATGAGAAGACTGATTCGAAAATATTACCAGAAATAACCTTAAAAATAGTGTAATTATAAGGAAAAATCAGAATGTCCTGTAAAATTTCCCGTTGTAATTTTTTTGGTTGAAACTTTTGTTGAGAAGGCCCTAATCACATTGTCGGGGAATCGTATGTCGAAAATTATATTATTTTTGCTAATAAAATATTTAGATATTTTGCAGGTTAGAAGTAACATTATACGCTCTATCTATACAATGCTTTTTATAATTACTCTTTACTGTTTGATTCATTTTTCTGAAAGACAAAATAAAAAATTATATATAAACCAAGTCTTTAAGAAAAAGTATAAAATCACGAAGGTTCAATAGGCTTAACCAGAATGATATAATAAAGAACACCTTTTTTTGCCAAGTCGTCAATGTTATGAGTTTACATTAAATGTTCTTTACTAATGAATAATAAGGTGTATGCAGTGGCGAAAGTACGTCTCCGCAATTGCCAAATGCAGCCAAAAGGGGGACCGAATGGCCTGACAAACTTAAGAATTGCTGAAAAGGAGAGAAGAATACAGTTTAATTTTTTGAACTAAAGAGCTGTTGAACTATTCTGGTATAGTAAACACATTTAGTGAAAGGACAGAACAGAATGAGTACATACACTGACTGCCTCAATTAATGGTCCGTATTATCATTGTGGAAATACACTTTGGATGTAGCAAAGAATGTAACTAAGTATTCTGATCCCCGAACCTTGCTTTAGTGGATGTTCTAGCACTAGCCTATCCATGTGAGTTCTTGTTAGACACTGCCACCAACAATGGAATCAAAGCAATGTATCACCGTTGCAGGGTGGAGTATAATTTGTCATATTCTCATGTCACTACTTGCCATGCAGCAAGGTATAGCCCAAACAGTATCGACAGAGGTGGCTTGTATAAATGCACATAACCTGTGGTATCTGTATGGTCAGTTACAAGTGAATGAAAGTGCGCTTTACCATTGCTATAAAACACTGAGCCATGGTTTTTTACTCTGCTGAAGATAGTCGTCCTCAGTTCCCTATGAGAAGAGATTATCTATACTTTGCATAACACAAAGACTGGAGGACAGCAAGATATTACTCACACTTGTGCTAAAACTTAACAGCATTTCTTCTGGTCACATTTGAGCCCAAATGTTCAGCAATGGTGTGAATACTGCACAGTGTGTGCCACCCAGAGAAGGAACTGGTTGAGAAAGGGTAAATCCAACAGAGAACTGTTGGATTTCTGCAGATGAAAACCCTGGATATTACTGGTCCACTTCCAGGGACTATGTGAGATCATTTTTACATACATGCTATACATTTCTTTAAAAAGTGGATTAAAGCTTATTTGTTGGTCAGTACATTGGCATAGTCCATTTCTAATATGTTGGCAGAGAACTGGATAACATGGTTTGGGTCATTGTAAGACATCTACATGGATCAGGGAGCCAATTTCAACAGCCATTTGATGGTTTGGCAGAATGGGTGATGCATACAACCAAGCATATGCTTGTGAAGTTTATGAATCCCAGATGAATTGACGGGATTGAACACTTGCCATGTATGATGATGACATACAGAATAGTGGAGCTGGAATTTGCCAAACCTGTTCATACTACTCCCTGTTAAAGTGGATCACCCAAAAACTTCTCACAATGTCCACAGAAATACCTGAAGTGATTATTGTCTATGATAGTCAATGCACATGAGTTCGCCTAAGAAATAGGAAAGTCCCCTCAAAGACAGAATAAATGCTGTAGCAAAATGGTAAAGTAATGGATATTACAGTTTAGAGATTACGTCTGGTTTTGATAAATGCTGGTAACACAGAAACAATTTGTTTTAGGCTGGACTGGTCTATACCTGATACTCTAGCAAATTTTTCATTAATATACAATTTACAACAGATGTGGGATGCGCAAAAACATGTGAAACACACTAATAAGCTAGTATACTGACTTAATTAACAGTCTGAAAATGAGACCAATGAGTCAGTAGAGGACAAGGATGCCGTATAGAGTCATACCAACTCATCCATTGAAGGGGAAAGAGCTGAAAATACTTATTTCGCTGTCCAAAATGAGCCAGATCAGGATTCACTGGAAATAGATGTGAAAGACAGCTCTGACTATTGGTTTGGCCACTAACATCAACCTTCTGATTATTATGGGTGGGACTGATTTACTTCATAAGCCAAAACACTTATTAGAGTGAGTGATCAATAACTAAGTGCTTTGTGAACCTTTCTTTCCATGCCACCAAAGATAGTTTCTTTAAATGTGACATCTACCACATATTGGACGATAGCTGCTTGATTACTAGTTAGGACTGACTTTTAGTCCAGAAACAAAAAGATAAAAGAAATTTGAGTTCCATGCATTCTAAGCTATTGAGTGGTATGGCAAGATATGATGTTTATATTAATTACATTCAAGTGATTGAAAAAATCAAGACCAAAAGAATGTCACGATTGCTACTTTCTAAGCCCTCAAATGGTGACATGAAATATTGTATGGTTAATACTTGGTCATCAGAAGTTAATACAGCTGGAGTGGATTGATATATTACTTAATACATAAACAGTTTGCACAATTGAAGATGCTAGCTAAGAGAAGGCTTTGCAACCCTTGCTCTCTGAGTTGTCAGGTGGTATTTCATGGTATGATGTAAACTCTACATTTTGTGTGTTTACCACTTTGTTTACTTCATAAGACAGAACAGTTCAACGAGCAGCGAGGGAGTATATATTGAGATACAGTAGGAAGAGTACATATATTATTTATTTGACTTTTAGTTGAAAATCTCAGCTCCTCCAAATTGTGTTAGGGATAATTTAGCTCATGACGCCTGAAATATAAGTGAGTGGAGTTTGATGATCCATAGATGGCAAAAGCATCATTATTGAGAGGTAGCTTTAGAAGGTAACTCGAGAGGTTTATCTAAGTAATTCATGTGGGAGCCAGAGGCAATTTTTTATAAGCTAATAGAGTAATTGACAATGTGTAATGGTAATATACATATATAGCAATACATTTATATAAACAGATATATGAGTGTGGTCTCAGACCATACATATGAACATTACATTCATTGATTCGTTTATGTTATACAACACATACAGTTGTTCATTTGTTTTATAACCTAAATGAGAACAAACAGTAAGCAACAAAGGCATGGAGACAAAGGATTGGATCTCGATGTGAAAAACTGATGAGTATGCGGTTAATTATGTTAACTGACCTGGAAAGTGTTACTGAAAAACACAGTGCACCTGAAATTTTCATTAATACTAGGAGGAGAATATTTTGCTTTTGACATTGAAATATTTTGCAATAGAGAATTTTCATGGAAGAGATAAAATTAAAAAGGAAACTCACTCTATGTCTGAGAGAGAAAAAGGTTTTAAGTGGGAGTTTTCATAAAGAGTAGCACAAAGGATATTTCAATTGGTGAAAATATCACTAGTAAATGAAATTTACAGACAGCAGCTTAGGTATCATAACAAATATAAATATGCTTTATCCAGTGTTTCATTTTGTTTTGATAGAATGTTTTCAGCCATACAGATTGAAATATCTTTAATAAACATCCAGTTTTGCTGAATATTTTCTTAGTATTGTTTCATGACAAAGTGCAGTATTAAAGGATGAAAATGCAAGCTATAATTCTACTAGGGGAGACAGAAAGTAGAACTCACAGGGTGAAAATGTTGTAAATAACACCAAAATCCAGTACACAACTTGTAAACGAAAGGAAGCTCACAGTGTAAGACAATGGAAGTGTTGGTGAAGGTTAACAGTTGGAGTCATCTAATCTGAGTCACATTTTGCATGTAGAAACCTGCTGTAATCTTATGACTCCCGTTCTTTTCTATTGTATATGGGTACTATCTACATGACAATCAGATGGTGGGAAGAAGAAAGAGGTTGGATTGGAGAATTTGGCATGAGTTACAGTTGTCCAGCAGGAGTAACAGAGGGCGGTCCAGGCACAAGTAGTTGGTAAATCAGAGACTCACAGAAGCGTGATAATCGGGAAATTATCCATTTCTCAGGATACAAGTTTCATGGTTTACCAGAACCTTAAACTATAATACATAATTATAATTATTCATTATGACGTATTTAATCACACACTTTAAGTCTAATCTTTGATTAATTAAAATTCATTCAACTTTGCATTTCAAGCTGAACGTTTAGTATTTAAGGTCAAGTTTTAGCTAGTCGGTATTTTTTCTCGATTGATCAGTGGTTCTCCTACCTTAGTCTAGTACTAGTGCTCCTGAAGCCTTAATCTCATGCTGCATAATGGAATAATTTTCATATGAAACTCTCGTATTTCTGATAAAAACTCAGGACTTTTTCCTTAGTGAGGGTTTGTTTGTTTGTTTGTTATTAAGCACGAACCTACACAAAGGGCTATCTGTGCTCTGCCCACCACGGGTATCAAAACCCGGTTTCTAGCGTTGTAAGTCCGCAGACATACCACTGTGCCACTGGGGGACCCTTAGTGAGGGAACTGATGAAGTTATCAAACCTAAGACTCCAGGGACTGGTCTGATGCTTACCGTGGCTGAGCCCATGCATGAAGATGCATTGCTGACTGACACATCAATTCCGTTTTTACAATCATCTTTTGTAGTTCATAAATTTATTTGTCGTCGCTGTTAGCAAGTTTGTATTGGTTCTACCAAAAGAAAATTAGGTATAAAAGAACACGTTAACCTAAGATCACCAACTAAGTCAAATATACTTGAGCACGAGTGTGACGTTGTCGTCCATTCCAGTTCGTCTACGTTTTTAGCCATGGCCAATGATAAACAGACCGTCTGTGTTGATCGGTGTTTAGTCGTGTTATGCGTGACGTGGGAGGATCAGGTCATATTTAAATTTCTTCCTCTCACCTTTACGGTTTGTATGTTTACTGTTAAATACTATAGTT